GCTTGGCGGCTTGATGGCACAGTCTGTTATCCTGCTGACCATTTCACTGGCCCCCTTTGTGCTGCCCTGTTTGTCTGTCCCCTGGCCTATGAAGCCAGCCTCTCTGAGGCAGCATGAAGACTCTTCACCCTCTCACCTCTGCCAGGTTTTCCGGACAGACTTGATCACAGCCATGAAGATCCCAGATTCATACCAGCTCAGCCCGGATGACTACTATATCCTGGCGGACCCTTGGCGACAAGAATGGGAGAAAGGTGTGCAGGTACCTGCTGGAGCGGAGGCCATTCCAGAGCCTGTGGTGAGGTGAGCCAGGTAGCCAGGCTAGGACCACTGGGACAGGGCATTAAGGGGGGGGGCTGGTCTGGTAAGAGGCTTACCAGTTCCGGGATTCCTTCCCAGCCTGTCTCTGTTAGTGGTTAATTCTCTTACCAGACAACAATGGTCCAAAAATCCTTTGGGCTTGGGCTTGAACTCTGCTCTGAAGCCAGATTACCTTGGTCCAAATTGCCTATTCCCTTCAGTAGGACCTTGAACCAGAAATGTAATCTTTCTGGGCCTCATTTTTCTTGTTTCTGAAATAAGGGTGATAACTGTTTTCCTTGTGGTTGGAGGTGTAGTAAATGGTACATCTCTGAAAGACTCAGGGTGGGACCTGCGTATAGCAGGTGTTACAGAACCCACTAGGGTTAGAATGCTGCCATTCCACACAGCAGGCAGAGTGGGCCAGGGAAATCTCCAGGCTTTTGCCCATCCCTTACAATGAGAATAAGCCATGTTCTGAAGTTCTTTTAAACCACCCTTTAAAGAACTTAGAGCCGGGCATTGGTGGTGCACATCTTTAATCCCAGCACTCAGGAGGCTGAGGCAGGCGGATCTCTGTGAGTTCGAGGCCAGCCTGGTCTACAGAGCGAGTGCCAGGATAGGCTCCAAAGCTACACAGAGAAACCCTGTCTCGAAAAAACCCCCCGCCAAAAAAAAGAAGAACTTAGAGAGAGGAGCCTGGGGCCCATCACTCAGTAGAGGCCTGAGCAGCACTCACTGGTGTCACCCCCTGAGGAATTTGTCCTGTAGGGCTGGGTCACCAGCTGAGGAATCTGTCCTATAGGACTGGGTCAAAATAGCATCCTCAGGAGCTTCATAACCTGCTGGACTTGTGGGCAGAGACTCTTTCGGGATGTAACCACATATGGCCTTGCCTTAAACTTTAGAATATATTCAAGTGTTTCATTCTGAGTCTGAGGGACCGGTGGTCTGGCCTCCCACCCCACCAGCTCACCTGAGTTGGGCAGTTGGTCTTAGCACCTCTTCCTGGAGTTGGCTGCTTCACAGCTTTTGCTTTTGAGACCAAGTTTATTGAAGCTGGGGGCAAAGGTCGCAGCTGTCCCCTCCTTTGACATTGGCACCATTGCTTCCTGGCAACCACATCTGTGAAGAGCCTTCTACATGCAAGCCCTGTGCTAGGATTGCAGACAAGGGAGACTCAGCCAACCCAGGTATTCTTAGGCACTGGATGTGGGAAGGCCTTTCTTCCAATGACATGAGTGTCTGGGGCCCTCTGAGAATTGGGAAGCTTGACCCCATCTGGAATGCCTAGGAGCTTAGGATGGATGGATGGACGGATGGATGAATACATGATGGATAGACAGATGGACACACGGTGGGCAGGTGGATGAATGAACACATGAATGGATGGATGGACGGACGGATGGACGGACGGATTATTACTGTCCTCATCCTTTCTGGGGCCTGTAAATAGGCCAAGATCATAGTGAATTTTGTGCCCTGACCTTGCCGCTAAGGAGAACCATGACCTGACTTCTCCAAGGCAGTCAGCTCCTCTGTGAAATGGGGATGATATTAATACCAGTGACTACCTAATGGTGTGGGAGTCAGGATTAAGTGAGAATTCTCATGCCAACTTGTCACCATATGTGCCAAGGCCAGGGGAATGAAGAGGGACAGGCTAGCCACTGAACAGAGAAGCAAGTCCCGATGGGAGTCACCCAGGAGTCTAACGCCTTGACTTGATGTCAGTGTCACTATGTCAGATGCTTCTGGGAACATCTGCTGGCATGACAATTTATTGCAGTTGTTTCTACCCTGGTGGTTTGGCTTCATTAAGTCTCTGTGTAGGGTATTTTATCTGATGAAATGGAGAGGGGCCATGCTGTCCTGGCCTCCTGATGTATAATCCTAGAATCTTTCATTGTTTTGTTGTAAAGCTTTTTTGAGACATCGTCTTCATGTGACCCAGGCCAATCTTCGACTTATTATATAAGGATATATAATATATCCACAGCGTTTTTATTTTTTCTTCGGAGAGATTAATTTTTATTTTGTGTGTATGAGTGTTTTGCCTGTATGTGTGCCCACAGAGGCCAGAAGAGGGTGTTGGATCCTCTTAGAATTAAGAGTTATAGATGGTGATTAGCCACCATATGGGTGTTGGGAATTGAACCTGGGTTCCTTGGAAGAGCAGTCAGTGCTCTTAACCCCAGAGCTATCTCTCCAGCCCCACCCACAGCATTCTTATGGCTATGCTGGACTGACATGAGTTAAGATATTCAGAGCCTCCCTGTACTCAGTACAGGGAAAATGTACTGAGGTGGGCAAATGTGCTTCCCAGTCTCCCTGAGATCAGCAATACTACCTGCCTGGGGCCTCCCCACTGCACAACCCTCTGGAAGCCTTTATGGCAACTACCTTGGGGGACACTGAGAGCCTTCCAAGTGAAGCCTCTCACTATCATTCAGTGATCACACTTTTAGGGTACATAGTACTGTCCCCATTTTATAGATGAGGAAGTTGGGAAATTCTGGGGAATTTCCTATGGGGCCTAGTAGGCCGCTGGGCCAGGAAACGACAGACCACAGTAACAAACCCTGGGCTGTCCCTGTGAGGCCTAGAGTGAGAAGATAAAGTATAGCCTGACTGCTCTCACCCATATGCTGTCCCAGCCCGACTCCTCTGCCCCTTCCTGGCCTTTGGGCAGTTCTGCCCACTTCATGATCTAAAATCTGCCCCTGAGGGTTTTCACTGTCCCTTTAGACTTGGTCCAGGGGGAAGACCCAGCCTCTGGTTGTCTGTCTGCTCTCCCCTGTAGGTCTTGAGGAAGTTTTTTTTTTTTTTTTCCATCCCATCCAGCCCATTGCCACCTGCTGTGTCTGAGGGTGAGACCTTAGCTTAGGCTCACGTCAGTCCTCGCTTAGTAGGAGATGCTCTTTCTGGTGTGTGTCCCTCAGCCCTGGCTTCCCAGAGGGTTAGCCAGGTGGCACCAGTGGAGCAGGCAGGTGTGACTGGTGTTACCCAGTAGGTGGCTGTAGGGATGCTCAAATGCTTGACTAAGCATATGCTTAGGGCATACACAAAACTGGATTGTGACAGAATTATAGGCTGTGCTTTTAAGAGATGTTCATTTGGAGTGACAGCTTCTTGGGAAAGGCAGCATTTGGTTGGACTGAGGGCATAGCGTTAGCTTCTATATGGAATCATCTACTTGGTGTGGGAGGAGGGTCCTGCCATCATTGTCACCTAAGGCTCTCATGAGGGCTTCTCATGTGGGATGGTAGTGCTGACCTTTGGCCGTTCCTGTCTCCTTGTCCAAATGATCTCCAAGCCTTCAGTCTTCTCCCTGGTTGCACCCCTGCCTCCCTGTGCCCAGCATCCTGTCCTCTTGCTGACACCAGAGCATTTCCTGAAGCCAGGGGCCCTCCCTGAAGCTCAGCCCTGTCTCCGTGCCATCTTGAACCCTCCCCTCCCCTGCCCAGCCCAAGCTGAGTCACAGCCCTTGGCAAGCCCTGCCTCCGACCCCAGGAGGCCTCCCGGGCAAGTGTGGGGCCTCTCAGGCCTGGCAGGGCTGGCCAGATGGAGGCCAGGCTCCAGACAATAACCATGGCAACCAGTGGGGTATGGGAAGGGCTGGCATTTTGAACTGGCCTCAAAATCTGATGGGTAGCACACAGATGCATGAAGAGGACTCCACCCATCTGAGGCAAAATGCCCCTTATTTCCAATTTTAGGAGGAGAAAGGTGGTTGGCATCTAGAGATCTTTACACACACGTGCACGCACGCACACGCCAACCCCCCCCATACCTAGCACTTTCCTAAGAGCTTTCTTTGTGTTAATCCTTGCCATCCTCTCACCAAATGCCTCAGGTAGGTATTCTATTGAGGAGTGGGGACCTGAGGGAACAATGCAGGGAGAGCCCTGGTGCCTGCTGCACGTCACTGGTCCCCAGGGAAAGCTGTCTGGGTGGGATCTGAGACAGTGTTGTGAGTTTGGAAGTTTCAGGAGACAAGATGAAGCAGTAAGAAACAGGGTGCCTGTGTGGTCCATAGGGAGGGTAAAGGTGTGTGGCCAGCATGCCACTGTGGCAAGAGGCCTCTAATCCAGAAAGCCCTCTCCTGGGACGTACAGTGGAACCCTGCAGAGATTAAACTCCTGAGAAAAGCTAACAGACTCACTTCAACTCAAGACTATAACACCTCCAGGCTGTTGGTGAGGAGGGCCCAGGGATTATGAAGCCATGTAGACAGTCTTTGGTCCTAGCCTGAATGAGTATGCCAAAGGGTCTAGAGTCCAGCTGGCTCTATGTCACTTGTCCCCAAGTAGCTGGCATAGGGCATTGTCCAAGACGGCACTTGGGACACGTCCTGCAGACCTAGGCAGGGCTGATCCAGGTTGGGAATAGCTCTGGCTGGGCAAGGCAGATGTTACTGTGGTGGACCAGCATTGTATGTCATTCCCACGAGGACCTCACTCTGCCCTTAGGGTCTGCTATTCCTGTAGATCCATAGCTGATGGAGTCTGTAAGGCAGACTGGCAACAAGGGAAGAAATGCAAAGAGGAGATAGATATAAGGGATGGGCCCTGTGGAACATCAGCATCTCGTGTCTTAACGGGGCCACCAGTTCCTCCCTAGGCTGACTGAAAACCGTTTAAGGCCCTTTCCTTTACTACTCCTGTTCTTGGTTTCACAGGATCCTCCCGCCACTGAAAGGCCCCCCTACACAGGTGTCCCCAGACAGCCCCACACTTGGTGAGGGTGCCCATCCTGACTGGCCAGGAGGCAGCCGCTGAGGCGTGGATGAGATTGATGCCTACTGGTTGGAACTCCTCAACTCAGAACTCAAGGAGATGGGTAGGTAACCCTTCTGTGCCAGGTATGATTGCAACTGGCAGGGACCATCTTCTTCCCGGCCCCTGATAGTGTCTATACATCCAGAAAGGCAGTGGCTGTGACGGGGAACATCCCCACAGCTTTACTGTCAGGTGTGGCTTTCATTGTCTCTGCCTCCCAAGAATCTACAGTTGTCAAGGGAAGATAAAAATAGCAAGTAATTCACAGGGCTCAATGACACATGAAGTGAGCATGCAGGTAGAACTGGGTGTTAGTGGGCATGAGCCTCCCGGATGAAACCTGTTGACATGTCCCAGGAAAGATCAGCCTGGCCATTATCTGAGTGTACATAGATAATGTACACACAGTCCAAACAGTAGATTTCTCTTGGAAGCCAGCTGCACCCCAGAGACACCCTACATTGTATGCATACACTGTTGAAGGAGTGGCTGCAGGCAGGTTGTAGACAGTGAGGCAGCGGTGATGGGCAGGAACCTTTGGGATTGGATGGTTCAGTTGTCCTTGATGGAGCTGAGGCCCAGGTCATACTGTGGATGGATGGATGGATGGATGGATGGAGCCTTCCCCATGACACCACTGATAAATTTACCCTGATTGCTGCAAAGCCTGCTGAACTCCTAATGAGATGCTCTGCCATCCTGCCTACAGAGAGGCCCGAGCTGGATGAGCTAACGTTAGAGCGTGTTCTAGAAGAGCTAGAGACATTGTGCCACCAGAATATGGCACAGGCCATTGAGACACAGGAGGGGCTGGGCATCGAGTACGATGAAGATGTTGTCTGTGACGTGTGCCGCTCCCCTGAAGGCGAGGATGGCAACGAGATGGTCTTCTGTGACAAGTGCAATGTTTGTGTGCACCAGGTGGGTGGACCCTATCATTCTCTTCCATACCATATGACACATGCTGCCTGAGCCCATGAGGCTGGTTGAGTTGGTAATAGGAGCATGCGCACTGTGGACCAATATCCCTAAGAAGGATGAGAAGCAGAGAAGTTGGTAACATAAATGCCTTGCAGTACCTGGGATATCCAGGGCCTTCTTGGCTCAGTCCTGTTAGCCAGACCTAAGCAAGTGTCCTTTGGGTAGTCTGTCTTCCCTCTGTCTTTCTCAGGTCTTCCCTCACAAAACTACCCCCAGCTCCTCACTTCCAGACCTTGCAAGGCGAGGACAGCAGCATCAGGTAGTGATGGAGAGCCAAGCTGCCTGGTTTCAAAGCATGGTTCTGCCTTTCACAGCTTAGGAGGCTTGTGGGGGCTGGGGAGCTCTGTTTTGTAAAGTGTAAATAAATGAGCAAGCAGTCAGAGCAGAGATGTAGTTGTAGCTTAGTGATAGGGTGTTTGCCTGATTTTCTTGAGGCCTTGGATTCAGTCCCTAGCACTGTCCCAAGTACCCCCCAAAAAGCAAATTGTTTATGATTAATTTGCTTAGTGAAAAACAGTTGGGGCTGGTATGATTAATTTGCTTAGTGAAAGACAGTTGGGGCCGGGCATTGGTGGTGCACGCCTTTAATCCCAGCACTCGGGAGGCAGAGGCAGGCGGATTTCTGTGCATTTGAGGCCAGCTGGTCTCCAGAGCGAGAGCCAGGATAGGCTCCAAAGCTACACAGAGAAACCCTGTTTCGAAAAACCCAAAATAAAGAAAAGAAAAAAAGACAGTTGAGCTGAGCCTGTGAGATGGCTCGTGGGTAAAGGCATTTGCTTAAAAGTATGGTGATGGAGTTCAATACCCATATACAGATGGAAGGAGAGAAGCAACTCACAGAATTGTCAAGCCTTTCTATGTAGCCCCTGAGCATGCTATATTCTGTCCCCAATAGATTAACAAGAAATACATAGGGCTGGAGAGATGGCCCAGAGGTTAAGAGCACCTGCTTGCTCATGCAGAAGTCCTGAGTTCAATTACCAGCAACCACATGGTAGCTCACAACCATCTGTAATAAGATATGGTGCTCTCTTCTGGTATGCAGACAGAACACTTATATACATAATAAAATAAATAAAAATAAATCTTTAAAAAAATACATATGGGACTGGAGAGATGGCTCAGAGGTTAAGAGCACCAGCTGTTCTTCCAGAGGTCATGAGTTCAATTCCCAGCAACCACATGGTGGCTCACAACCATCCATTATGAGATCTGGTGTCCTCTTTTGGTGTGCAGATATACATGGAAGCAGAATGTTGTATACTAAATAAATAAAATCTTTATTAAAAAAAAACCAAACATACAGTTCGACTATACTAGAGTACTTCTTACTGTTACAGAGCATGCCAGAGTCCCTTTCTTTTCTAAGATTTTTTTTTTAGGTGTGTGGGTATGCATGTGTGTAGGTAGGTGGGTCCTTGTGGAGGCCAGAGGCAGCCAATCCCTCTGGACCTAGAGTTAGAGATGGTTGTAGGCTGTCTGATGTCGGTGTTGGGAACTGAACTCGGGTCCTCTGAAAGAGCAGCAAACTCTCTTAACAGCTGAGCCATCTCTCCAGCCTACAGTTACCCTTTATTTTTTAAAAATCATTTTATGTGTAGGGGTGTTTTGCCTCATGTATCTAAATGAATTAAGTGTTTGCCTCATTCCCAGAGAGGCCAGAGGAAGACATTGGATCCCCTGGAATTGGAGTGAGATATGGTTGTGGGTTTTGAGAACTGAATTTGGGTACTCTGCAAGAGCAGCAAATGCTCTTAACAGCTGAGCCATCTCTCCAGCCCATAGATCCCCATTCTCGATCTCAGGTCCTGAAGCTCTGGGTCCTTTGTATCAGTGGCCTTGTTTCCAGACCAGATTTGGAGTCAGGGACTCACTCTGGTCCCCAACTTTGAAGCACATATATCTACTACAATTTTGTCCCTGTCACTAGGGAACTAGACAGATCCTGGGAGGCTGGGGGGCAGAGACTTGAGCCTTACAGCAGCCCTTGGGTCCATTGTTTCTCCTGCACTTGTGGAATGACAGGAGTGGGGAGTGGCCACTGTTTTCACAGACTCTTACATAAAAAAAAAAAAGAGAGAGAGAGAGAGATGAAAATTTGGACCTTGGTCTTGGGAGGTCTAGAGCCACTTTTGTGTTCAATTTAAGAAGCAGTTGAGGTTTTCCCTATAGCCCATGCTGGTTAGGAACTTATGGCTAGCACGGGGCTTCCATCAGGGAGCAGCCCCCACCCCTTTACCAGATGATGGGATCGCACACCTCAGGAACTCTCTGCCACCCAGTGTAGCCTGGAGACAGAGTTGGCACTACTGACAAATCACTGGTCAGACATAGCCAATTTTCCAATGACCCTCACCCATGACCACCTGCTCTGTTCCCAGGCATGCTATGGGATCCTCAAGGTGCCTACGGGCAGCTGGCTATGCCGGACATGTGCCCTGGGAGTCCAGCCCAAGTGCCTGCTCTGCCCTAAGCGAGGAGGAGCCTTGAAGCCTACCAGAAGTGGGACCAAATGGGTACACGTCAGCTGTGCCCTGTGGATTCCTGAGGTGTGTATCGTGGGAGGCAGAAGATTTCAGAGAATAGAAGGTGGGGAAGGGGTTTGTGGAGAGCTCAGGTTGGGCCTGGCAGAATTTAGGTGTGAGTTCAGAAAAAGAAGGAGCTGTTGGACTCCCATGAAGACTCAGAGAGACAGGTCTAGGAATAACTGGGAACACTGTTGGTGGACCTGGTCATAGGTCAGGTCCAGTTTCTGTTGGAAAGTGGTGTGACCAGCCACTGGGACATTCTGGAGGGACGATTTGAGGTCCAGACTTCAGTCAGGGGATGGGGGGGCACTCAGATTATGAGATCCATTGAAACAAGGCTTTGGTTAACATCAGAATGAACCAGCCTTGCTGGCATACACCTGCAAATTCAGCACTTGGAAGATGGAGGTAGGTCATTATCAGATACATCTTGAATTTGATGCTAGCCTGGGCTATACAACATCCTGTCTCAAAACCAAGCAGGAGGGCACAGATAATCCACTTGTCTAGACGGTTACAGCAGGAACTCGGGTTGTGGGCCTACCCCTCTGTCTGAGATTGGGGTGCAGAGGTAGCCTGTGGCTGGGGTCATGTGGAAGGGCCATAGACAGTAGACTGGGTCCACAGTGGCCATCCATTTTCATTAAAAAATGAGATGCACCAGGCGGTGGTGGCGCATGTCTGCAACCCCAGCACTTGGGAGGCAGAGACAGGTGGATCTCTGTGAGTTCGAGGGCAGCCTGGTCTACAGAGTGAGTTCCAGGACAGGCTCCAAAGCTACACAGAGAAACCCTGTCTCGAAAACCAAAATAAAATATGAGATGCTAAAATTCACCAGGGTTTTGGTCAGCTCTAATGTATTGAAACCTCTGTCCACTGCTGTCCGTGTCTAGAAGTCAGCTAAGAGACCCTGTCAGCATGTGGCTTTTCCCTTCCTGGTTCTCAATCCAGAGGTTCCCAGTGGTTTCCACCTTGCCATTCTTGGGGTAGTGATTATTTGTGCCAGATCTGCATCTGAAAGACCAGGACTGCCTCTCAGTGTCCTCTCTTCTGACTACAACATACACAGACACTTATTAAGAACCCCATCCTTGGGGTCTGGCAAGATGGCTCAGCAGGTAAAGGTGCTTGCTGCCAAACTTGACAACCTGAGTTCAGTCCCTGGGACCTACATAGTGGAAGGAGAGGACCGACTCCTGCAAGTTGACCTCTGACCTCCACTCCTGTGCTGTGAATTACATGAACAAACATCTGTACACATGCACCTCTGTCTCAGAGCCTACACTCCCAGGTATATGCTTCTAGCCAGCTACATTCTTACATTTGCACACTCTGAGGCTAGATCCAAGTGAGCAGGTACTTGATTGAGCTGGGGTGGGGAACTCAAACTCTCCATGTGTTGAGTCAGGGAGGACTTGGGATTTGTGAGCTCAACTACAGCTCTGTCTGTGCACTACCTGCTTACAACACACAGCTTCCCATTGGAGCACTGATGCAGCTCACTGTATTCTGCCCAGGTCAGCATTGGCTGTCCAGAGAAGATGGAGCCCATTACCAAGATCTCACATATTCCAGCCAGTTTCTGGGCCTTGTCTTGTAGCCTCTGCAAAGAGTGCACAGGCACCTGCATCCAGGTATGTGGCCTCTTCTGCCCTGCTGCCCGCCTGAGCCTACTTCTTACCAGACAGATGGCACCTGGGGGACTAAAACCACAGTATTTACCACTCTCCCCTGAGGCGGCATCACTGATGAGCCGGAGAGGCTTAGGACTGGGGCCATGCTTGGTGCTTACCCATCAGTAAGGTACATTTCTATCATTTATCCCCATACTTCCAAGGAATAGGAACAGACTGCACCCATGAATGCTAAGAACATTGCTTTCCTATGAGAACAAGTTAACTCTGGGCTTGAAGAATAGTGCATTGGCTTTTTAGACTACAACTCTGACATGTGAGAGGAATGGAGATCTAAATTCCTCTCCAGCTAGGCCAATGGTCCTCCTGACACAAGATGGGCTTACTGGTCTACCTGTGATGATGGCTCCTGTCTTGGTGATCATTAGGATAACCCAAGGCTTTCAAAACAAATGAAGGCAAGCCCCACTATTCTGATCCACATGTGAAGGGAGCTGTGGATTTGCTTTTCTCACAAAGCAGGGGTTGTGGTGCTTCTGGTCTATGCTGTGGGGGTGGAAGACTACCTTTGTCCCTCTCATCTCCCCCAGGAACACAGTTGACTTCGCAAATAGGCCTCTACTCCATTTATCAGCCTTCCAAAAAGGCTCTAGATGCTGGGGACATGGTATCTATGTTGAGTATACCAATGACGAACTGGTTCCAGTGGTCCTGTCCCCATCCAAGGCTGGGAGGGATGGTCCTTTAGCTGTTTGGACAAGAGAAAGCAGCTGCTCCTAGAGAGCAGAGCCAGGGCAGACTCCTGGCTTTGATGACAATATAATAAAGAAGGATGTGATTGGCTTTAGCTCTCCCCCCCCCCCCCCCCCCCCCCCCCCCC